ATGATTCTTTGCCAGCTCACATAGCTGACTAGAAAAACACATCCATGTACCACATACAGCTTGCACATCCCTCTGCTTACCTTCGCAGAGTTTTTCTTGCTGTTTGGAGTCCAGGAGCTTTGGGTTTGTTGCCCTTCACTCGATGCAGAGCAGACGTGCCAGTAAGGCCGTGTCCCTTTGCCGTAGGTGTGGTCTCTGGGCGGGGGCCGCGATCACGTCCTGGACGCCATCTCCCAGTGTGAGCAGCTGGTGAAGGAGAGGGGCACACACGAGCGCCACGCGCCCTGGCGCCTCTACTTCCGCAAGGAAATCTTCACCCCCTGGCACAACTCCCAGGAGGATCCTATCAGCACTGATCTCATCTACCACCAAGTCATCCGCGGCGTGCGGTTTGGAGAGTATCGCTGTGAGAAGGTGAGTCTCCTGCTTCATCCTCCTAAGGAGACAAAGCTGTGTTAATGTTTCCCACATTAAAAAGCAGGAAGATGAACTGAGTTTCTAGTGGATGTGAACAACTCTTCCCTTCTTAATGAACAGTTCCTGTCCAGGTGATTGTGCCAGGTATCGCACAATTAATGCTGCTGAGGTTCTTTTCCTGCAGCTTTTGATCCATGTGGCAGCTGGAGGCATGTCCACAGGGTCAAATCGGGTCTTGCTTTAAAATATCTTTGCTAATAATCTCTGATGTTATGGTTGTGTGAAGTTCACTCCTCCTTATGCTGAATGACTATTAAGTTATTCAGACAAAACCAGAGAAAATCCCATTCCTAAACTGGCTTCAGGGCTGAACGAGGCCACCAGGCCTTTCTGACCTCTATTAATGGATTAATTCTTTCAGGAGGAGGATTTGGTGGAGATAGGTGCAAAATATTGTTATATCCAATTTGGAGATTCCATCCGCAATGAACTTGTGCAGAAGGTGCTCCATGACTGTATCCCAGTGAAACAGCTGAAGTCCAAGCCCCTGGAAAAGTGGGTGAGCCTTATAACCTATGCACATGCTAAGGTAAGAGGTTTGTCTGGCACTGTTGGGTAACCACTCTCAAGCAACAGCTTCTGCTTCTTTCACCATTTCCATTTATGAATAGTCTGTTGGGGAAGGAGGAAAACCAGCTCAGTTTGTGTATCCCAAATAGTTCATTAGGGCTGGGGGAGCAGAGATCCTTTCCACTCACTCTTCCATATGGGGCTCAGCAGGGGGGCAGAATGAAACACTACATTTGAATATCTAAGTAGAGTAACTTCTAAGGCTTTCACATCTGACAACTGAGCCAGGATGGGTATGGGACGGAGTATTGGTTTTGATCTGGAAATGGATTACCTGAATTATTTCCATGGCACTCAAAGCGTTTTAGGCTCTGAACAGATCGATCAGTGGGGATTTGAAGGAAATTTGAAATCCAAATGCATGTGGGCAATCTCAGCTGCTTGTGGCTTGGGGCCCTGGAGACTGTTCCTGATTTGTTTTCTCCAGGTACCCTTGACACCGGTGACAGCAGAAGGTTATTAGGGATCTCTCTGGGATCAGGCTTGTTGTTTATTGTCTGCAGATCATGCAAACCAGATTTTACTGAGCAAACCTTGGGTGTGCTTTTATCCTGCAGGCCCCATACACACAGGACCATCTCTCCTCCCAGACTGTGAAGGAACAAATTGTAGATTTTGCTCGTTTTCAGTGGCCTTTGCTTTTTTCCCGATTCTTTGAAGTCACAAAGTTTTCAGGTAATACCTGAATCCTGGGAGTAGAAGACAGATATAAGATCAGTAGAAGAAGACTTCTATAGCATTGATAAGGAGCTTTTGCTGTATTTTCAGGGCCCAGCTTGCCTAAGAACCACTTCATTGTTGCTGTAAACTGGAAAGGCATCTGCTTCTTGGATGAGTCGGAAAAGCGGCTCCTTGAGCTGACCTTTCCAGAGATAACTGGCATCCACACCAACAGGTGAGGGCTCCAGAAAGACAGACCTGAAGAAGGCATCTCTGCCCGTACTTGGAAAGGATGTACTTGCTGTTGCCTTTGCTTGCTCTGCCATCTCCTTACGTGATTTGATCTGTACCTGGAAAGGTGGTTTAGCCTAATCGGGGAAACATAAAGGAACAGTTTCTGAGCAGCCTGTAAAGGAAATACTGCAATGGCTGGATCCTTCCAGCTGGTGGAAGATGGTCCTGCTCAGTCAGAAAGGTGTAAAGAGGCACAGACATGCATTGAGACAATGCAAGGCCCAAAAAACCTAATATAATTAAGCCATTGTCTGTTATGCGTGTTGGGAATTCTTATCCTTCTCAGGTGTCATGGGATCTGAACAGGATAACTGAGAGAACGAGGGTAACCATTGGCTTGCTCAGGGCACACATCCTTGCATCAGATCTCTCAGAGAAAAGGGTCTTACATACATGAAATAAACCTCTGTGAGGATTGTCACAGATTTAACTACCTGCCCAGTTACTACAGAAGTCTGTAATGAAGCACTTGTGTACAAAACCTGGTGGAGTCCAGAGTGAACCTGAATCTCTGCAATCCTTCACACCTACCAGCTCATGGGGAGGCAAATTAACAACTACCAGTTCTCACTATGAGGGAGTAGACTGCATGGAGGTGTAGGTGCCTTGGCTATGATTGCAGATATATCTGTGACTTTTCCAGATGTTCTGGTAACAAACTGTTCAATTACACATAGGGCAGTGAAGTCCTTTGGACAGAGCTGCACTCTCATTACACTTCGTGCTGAGGAGTTTGTCCTGACTTCAGTAAACAGTGTTGTCATTGCTGAGCTGGTGGTCATGTTCCTGGAAGGACTGAAGAAAAGGTCACGATTTGCTGTGGCAATGCACGAGAGAAAATCCCAAGGTAAGTATTACACTTTTCTACTGGGTGGGGAAGAAATCTTGAGAGAACCAACAGCATTTGTTTGAAAGTGCTCAGAGAGGAGAGGGAGACCTTCAGCAAGAGGTCCTTTGCCTCAGGAGAAATGCACCAGCACAAAAATGCAGAGCATAACTCGACGGGATTTGGGGCCTTTGCATACAAATAAACTTTCCTTCCTCCTTCTATCTCTTTGCATATGTTATTTAGATAGTACAGTGTCCAACAACTCAGCTTGGTTAGAGCATGAAGTTGGATCTGTGCTCCCTGGAAATACTTTCCAGAAAAATATCACAGAGGTAATGAACTAGACATAGTTACACAAATCACTTTCTATTGCTACTTGAATTCAGGCCTTCAAAATACAATTCCCTCATCTTTCACAGTGCAATCCCTTTGTAGCTTCTTGGGCTATCAGGCCTGAACAGTACTCCCTTTTTCTGTTTTCCAGAAGACCCTGGCATCCTGTCCTTCAAGAAGGGAGACTTGCTAATCTTCACCGAAGACAAAAGGCTGGATGCAGACTCTGGCTGGATCTCTGCCCAGAATGAAAGGACAAGCAAAACAGGGAATGTATTTTTGGAAGACATCTACATCATTCCTTCTCTCACAAAACCCTCTAGTCAAGTGCTGGTAAGAAAATCTGAGCACTCTTTGTGAAGAGACTGGAAGTAAAATGGTGGTAACAGTGTTAAATATGATTAAATTTATAACTGGAAGATAATTGTTCCTCCAAAGTCAGACAAGTTCTGTATCTCCCATTGAAATAAAGCATTACATTCTGTCTTATCTGAAACCAAAACTAAACCTAGCCCAGACTCTAAGGAGAAGACTGCAGTTGCACAAAAGCAATGACTTACAAAAAAAACAGTCTGTTCCTCATGAAAGATTTCAGTGCCTGGAATTGGTAGCAATTAATGGATCTGGATGCATAGTTGAATTTCCCTGTGTTTACCCTGGGCTTGACTGGTGGTCACATTAGGCCTCAAGGGAAGCTCTGAGTGCAGCAGATCACTTAAAAAGAATATGTCTTTGAGGGAGGTTTCCCATTGATCCCTCTCCTAACAATTTTGTCTTCAGAAGAATTTTGGAGACTCAGTATATTGGATACAGTGCTAACAAGTAAAAGGCTGAAAACTGAGGGGAAACCACACTTGTGATAGGCAGGTACAGTTTTAAATGTGCTGTGCTTTGGACAATCACATACATTTTGATGTTCTCTACTGCTGGGTCTGTGGAAATGATTTCCATGAGTCAACTGTACCCAAGTCTTTCTTGAGTCTCTGGAGATGCTGCTTTGAGGACAGGGCTCAGGCAGCACAGAGTCCTACCTGCACACCTGAGTAACACGTGGCAATCTGTGCAGACACCTGTGCCCATGCAACATCTCTACATGGTTGTGTCATTCCAGAGTTTGCTGATGATGTCTCCAGACCAGAGGAGGACAGCATCACAGAACTCATTCATGGAGGAACCTGAAGAAGAGGATGTGAAAGTGAAGCCTTACACCCTGGAGGAGTTCTCCTATGAACACTTCAGGTGAAGCTCTCTGTGTAGTGTACACGCTAGGAAAGTTCTTGTGGATCTTCAGTGATCCTTGAAGCCTAGGATGTAATGGCATCTCCCAGTTCTGATTAGGTTTCTTCTTTTTGTAAGCCTTCTCCCTTCTGGATTTACAGGAAACTACATTTTCCTGCTCTTGTTGACTTGCAAATCAAAGGGGATATGAGAACATACCTAGAGAGATGTCTTTGTGATAACGACCTGCTATGTTCTTAGAAATACTGATCCAGTAATTTTGCGTTGCCTGCACTTGTCTTGATTCAGGACTCCTGAGAAGGAATCCATCAGCAAAGCTGTTCTCCAGAAATCCCGTGGGCGCAGTCAACTGTGGGCACACTCTAAGGAGCCCTTGAAACAGCCATTGCTGAAGAGAGCATGCACAGACCCTGACCTTCGGGATTTGGCCTGTCAGGCCTTCATTGATATCCTTTCTCTCCTCTCTTTGACACCTGAGAACACGCAGGGGAAGGAAGAGCTAGCTACTTTCACTCAACTCACCTCTGCTGAGATGCCATTACAGGGGATACATTCACATAAAGGTGGGGTGTACCCGATCTGTTGCCCTTGTCTACAGAGGAAAGATTCCTATTCCCTCCCAGTGCTCTACAGCTCCTGATGGCTCACTTAAGTGAGAACATGGCTTTAGGAGTGAGTGAAATTTACTGCACATGCCCATAGCAAGCAGCTAACACAGTACAAATCACAGCCAAGAAGCAACTCTGCATAGAGGACAGTGAGGGAACATGCTCCAGACATTCCTTCCAGTATTTGCCACTTAGGCATCAACACAGTCACTAACAACTTCCCATTTGCCTTCCAGAATTGGCCTGCTTTTCTCCTTAACAGCACATTCACCCATCATGAAATTCATGGGAGACTATCCCTCGAAACAGGCACACTCCTCTGTGGAAGTCACTGACCAGATATTTGTAGCAGCTATCCAGGAGGAGATCCTGCGGGATGAGATTTACTGTCAGATTATGAAGCAACTGACTGAGAACAGAAACAGGTACTCACCTGGGTGCAAACACACTGTTTCTGCAAGGCCAGGGCTCCAGTGCAGATGCTGATCAGGAACCCCTGCTGCACTTGTGGGGCAGGGGCAGAGGGTAAGGATGGCCAAGTGTGGCTCACCTTTGTGGAGCACTCAGGACCAGTGACTGGCAGTGAGAGGCCACAGAGCATCAATATTCCTCTACCCTGAGCTGCTGCTTTGCTCCCATCAGCATTCCATGCTCATCTCTGTGCAGTGTGGGGTGAGGCAGGCAAGGTGCTACTGAGGCTCTCTTGTTCCCAAGGTACCTGGGGAGAAAACATGGCATGGAGTCCTTGCATGCCCTCAGTGACTGCCCTGCCAGCCCTCCACTTGAGTTACCCAATGACAGCATTTCCCTCCCACAAGCACTTAGTTCACAGTAGATTTTTACCACCTGTGAATAAATACTTCTGAGTAGTTCTATTACTTAGGTTGCACAACTGCCTTGCAGAACAGACTGGTTACATGGGCCCCTGCCCACATACAAGTGTCTGAAATAGGCTGGTGTTTTCTTCCCCACTCACAAAATGATAATTTGACCTACTTCCAGGGAAACTGAATTGCAAAAAGAAGCTTAAAATAATACTAATGATTAACAAAATGTTTTTTCTGTTTCTGACTGCAAAAGTTAGAGAAGGATCTTCTGTCTATTTATTTTCTTTCCTACTGTTCCACAAGTATTAAACTGAGTGGAACTTTTACCATGTGTGTAGCTACTGAATGGTAAATTTCCTTGCATGCTGTCATCTTACAGTCCATTTAACATTGTAGTCTGTAACCATGGTGCCAGGGCCATGTTTCCACCAGTTTTGTTGCTGCTTTGAGAAGGATCACTGATGTGGAAAAAACAATGCTTGAAAGGTGGCTATTTCCATATACTTTCATTAGAACAGCCAGAGCAACAAATCTTTCATCCTTCTCAGGCTGCTGTGCTGTGGATCATGTCCTACTCTCACACACAGACACAAACGACTCAGGCTGCTGTGGATCATGTCCTACTCTCACACAGACACAAACACCACAGATCCACAGAGAATAAATGGGATTAAAAGAGCGTGTCTTCATCTGCAAAATGAGAACAGTAAATGGGAATAAATAACCCAAGACCTCTTTATTCAGCCAAGTCTGGTGCCCTTTCAGAGGCAGGCAGACCTGCTGACTTTCCCAGCCAAAGCCACTCCCTGTGGATCATGTCCTACTCTCACACAGACACAAACACCACAGATCCACAGAGAATAAATGGGATTAAAAGAGCGTGTCTTCATCTGCAAAATGAGAACAGTAAATGGGAATAAATAACCCAAGACCTCTTTATTCAGCCAAGTCTGGTGCCCTTTCAGAGGCAGGCAGACCTGCTGACTTTCCCAGCCAAAGCCACTCCGCACCACTGAGCACTTCAGAGCCATCCTGGGACATAGCTGAAGTGTGTTTGGCTCCTGGCTTTGATAACTGACCACCTCCAGACTGCAGAGGTGAGGTCAGGGTGAGGTGCCAGAACAGCTTCAACTGGCAGATTTCACAGGTGCAGAGGCTGGAAGAACTGGCTCTCTGCCTTGAAAATGGTACCAGCTTGTAAGAACTGTAACTGCCTCGTTACACAATGCCATCTACAGGCTCGTTTTTCACAACAGGAGCACATGTAAGGGGAAGTCAGTGTATGCATTGCTCGTGCCCTGAGCAAAGCTGCCCAGCACAGAGGGCAGGTGAATACAAGCTGCTGAGAAACCACAGTCCAAGTACATGTGAGCTTGAACAGCAATGAGACAGTGGATTTCCAAGAGGAGGGCACCAGGGTCACTGTTGACAAGATGATTGTTAAACTGGAGCTTATATTTAACTCCTGAGATTTGCCATTGTCATGAGTATTTCTCATTCAGGACTTGAGACTGCCTTCACGTGCAGGCTGGGGTTGTTGCACAGCAAACAACTGCCAGAGCCTGGGTGAAGGCTCTGTTGATTTGCTGAATGGCACAACACACCATGATGGGAGTGTTTCTACTCCCTGGAGCTGGTGTGTGGTCAAACAAAGAACTGTATGTGGCTATAGCAGAGCTGTTTGCTTTGTGTTCACAGGTACAGTGTGACCAAGGGTTGGCAGCTACTTTGGCTCTGCACTGGCCTCTTCCCACCCAGCAAGACACTGCTCAAACATGCCCAGAAATTCATAGAGACACGTCAGAAAGAAACCCTGGCCCTGGCGTGCCGTCGGAGGATCCAGACAGTGATGAGGTAAATGATCTGGCATATAACCAGCTCAAAGTGTTCAAAACTCATTGATCAGGTTCCAGGTCAGAGAGTGACCCAGTGTGAGAGGAGTTTTGCCCATAAGCTACAGCGTAGAAAATCTCTGAACAGGCTGCTCTGTGCCACTGAGGACAGGAACATACCAGCCCCAGGAGGTTAATGTGCTAGGTTTGTCCTCACTTTGTGTCAGGGTTTATGCACGACTCAGACTTCAGGGCCAGTTTCTTTGCTTTAAAAGGCAGCTCTCCTCTGAGCTTAGTTTCAAAGAACTAGGTTTGTACAGCCTGAGCACCTCTTGAGTCACTGATTACACACCAGCTCTTATGTAACATGTAATGCTGCTAGTGGCCCTCCAAACTTTTTTGGTATTTGCCTCCTGTGCTCTAACTCATCTGAATATATATATTTTTGCTCATGCAAGGATTAAAAGGTATTTCTCCTTGTAGCCATTATCTTCACACTTCAGTAGGGAAATCTGCTGCTGAACACATAGAAGGAGCAATGGTGCTGGCTAGGAGGGTACCTTATCTGTGCAACCTCCTTGCAGAGCAGAACAGACTGCTAATATATATGCTAATAAGACGCTCAGTTTCTTGCTGTTCATCCACTGAATTTGCACTAGGGTGGAGGTCTATTGGAGCCTGCCCCATTGCACAGTACTAGCATTTTGGATGGAACCTGTTGTCCAGCTGGAATAGTGTGGTTCAGCTCCTCAAAGCTGAAACATCCAGCACTGATCTCTCATGTGATGGTGGTGGCATTTTCCAGGAGTGGCTGCAGGAAGTGGGCACCTCATCCTGTGGAGGTTGAGGCCATCCTACAGAACAACACTAAGATCTCACACAAGATTTGCTTCCCCAATGAAACAACACAGGTGAGCACTTACCTGTTTTCCCAGCCATGATGTGTTCATGCAGAAGCATGTTTGAAGGCATTCAGTGTTGCCATTTCTTCCTCTGTGTAACAAGAGTCTTGTTATCTCACAGACATTCGATGTGGGAACAAACACCAAAATCCGCTCTGTGTGTCAGAACATTGCTTCCAAATTGCAGCTGAGCTCCTGGGAAGGTTTCAGCCTCTTTGTGAAGATTGCAGACAAGGTAACTCTTCCTGACTGTGGCAGGGTGACCAGACTCTCCCTCCTCTCCTACTTACTTGCCAGACCACTTAAACAGCCACGTATGAAGCCAAGCACCAGAGCAGGTCATTACTGCTGCTGTCTTACCTGAGGGGATACAACCTAGAGTCGAACTTATAGCACCTGACAATTATTTTGAGTCTCTGGCAAGGTGGAGATTCAGAATTTCTATCAGTCTGCCAGTATCCAGGTTACTAAGAGCAGAGATGTGAGCTTTCTGGCAGCTGCTGGATGGTAGCAAACTGTATGTTGCATACTGCTGGATTTGGCCTTTTCCATTCAGGCCTTGTGCCTGATGTGCTGCACATGTACAGTGCCCACTAGGATTAGGGAGAGCTAGGGTTGACCAGTGCCAGCTGATTGCTCTCTAGTTTCTCAGGAGCTTGCCTTGCCTGAGCTGAAGCTTGGCTGCCTTGCTGAAGGTCCCTTCTCTCTGCACCTGTGTCCAAGGCAAAAGCAGCACTGAGTCCAGGCACAGGGAGTTCCTGAAAAGAGGAACCTGGTATGTGCCAATATTTTACAAAGAGGAGATGGCTAACAATAAGGTAGGCATCTTCAGCTTGACTGCAATAAGTAGCTTGGAAAGAAAAAAGCAACAGAAGCTGCAATAAAAATCCCCATAGGAAATATAAGTAAACCGAGCCTTCCTCCTCCTATTTCTCTACTTCTTCCCCCTTGCCTGTGTCTTCCCTGACATAATTCTGCTCTCTCACTGTAGACAGGGAAAGAAAATTCAGCCTGATACTTAGGTAGGTGGGCACAGGCAGTATTTTATATGATGTGCTAATCCCTCCTTTCTCTCCTTCATGGCTTGGCCTCTGCAGGTTATCAGTCAGAATGAAGCAGACTACTTCTTTGACTCCCTGAGGCAGGTGACAGACTGGAACAGGAAGAACAAACCAGGGAAAGATGGTAAGGAGAATGCCAAGAAGCTGCATGTGATGCTGTGTTGAACTGGGAAAGGAGCAAATTTATCCAGTAGGATTTACTCCATCTTGGGAAGTGTGTGGCAGAGTCTTATTACCTCAGTTTTGTTTGTGCATGCACAGTCACTGCCTGCACCAGCAGCAAGATCCAGGGACCTGATGCAGCCAAGCACTGGCTATCAGAAACTCCAGAACATTATAGTGGGGGATCTCTCCAGAAATCTAAAATTGGGACTAAAGATTTTCTGACCTATTGTATCCAAAACACTCAGCTGGATACGCACAAGTTAGATACCAGATCAGGTATCAGCCAGCACATGTAAACAGGTTCTTTACACAGTGTCACTCACATTGCTTGGGTTAGAAAATTACTCTCTAGATTACTACCTGGTGATGCCAAAGCACAAGTTGTATTGCCAGGGGGACACGTGTTAGAATAAAACAATATAACACTGATGCCAGCATTTCTTTGCACTTCACCCTCATGTATAACATACATTTTGAAATTCTACATCAAACCCAAACTACACTCAAATTTCATATCCATTTCTCCTGAGCTTTGCTTATTTTAGGACAGCTGAGGTTCAACTTCCTAAACCTCTTTCTGCTTCCTAAGACTTCCTAAGAGAAGTCTTTTCTTAGGAAGACTCTGCTTCCCAGAGTCTTCCTAAGACTCTGTCATTTCCCTTTTCTCCCCACAGCTGATGCAGCTGTCAGGAGCTCTAAAAACCACAGCATAAAGATGTGGTGCACTAAACCACAGATTATTTGTGCAAGCACAGCCAGCAGGGAATGTACCTGCATCAGTGGAACAGAATTCAGGTGTGCTGCACACCAGCAGGCAGCTGTCAGAGCATGATGAATAACAAGCACTCAGCCTCTCCCTCCCTCTCTGAAGAGCCTGCACCATATATCAACTGCATCATCAGTGTCCAGGAGCTGACAACCACCTTCTTGGCCATCTAAAATGACCTTCTGTATTTTTTTTTTGTTCATAATTTTATTACTCACAAGCCATTTGGAAACTGCAGAACTCTGCAGTGGCACAGAGAACACTAACAATATCTGGTTTCCTCAGGGGCTGCCATGTCTGTGACATATGAGGTGTACTTCATGAGAAAGCTGTGGCTGAATGTCACTCCTGGGAAGGACCTGAAAGCTGACACCATTTTTCATTACCACCAGGTAACCAGCTCCCTAAAGCACAGATATAATGGCAGGCAGTGGGATCCAAGAAGTTTCCCAGGGAAAGTAAGTCTACTGGAATGTCACCCTCTCCCTCCCCAAGGTCTGCATTATAGGAACTCCAGAGAAATGCCTCTGGAGGGCACAACTTAGCCTCAGGAGCAGGTATTTTTCCCAGTGTTCACACCTTAGCTACATTGCTGATGTTAGGAGCACAGTTCTCTCAGCTAATTGTTCTGTGGTCTTGCTCTATAATTGTACAAAGAATCACAGAAAGTTTTGTGTTGGAAAGGACCTTTAAAGATTACTCAGAGAACCTCCAGAAGGAGTCACAAGTTATTGGGATGTCCTTGGACTGTGGCAAGACTCACCTCTTGATCCCCCAGATTTAGAATGCTTAAGTCAGTGTTTACTTCAAGCCCATTCTGCCTGGACTGAGAGCTGGTCTCTTCCAGGAGCTGCCAAAGTACCTCAGAGGCTACCACAAGTGTTCTAAGGAAGACGCTGTCCAGCTGGCAGGGCTGATTTACAAAGTGCACTTCAACACCGACCGCACACACCTGGCAACCATTCCCAAAATCCTGAAGGAGCTGGTGCCAGACAACCTGCTTCGAGCAGCCTCAGCAGATGAGTGGAAGAAGGTAAGAACATCAGCTTTCATTAGTCATACCAGTTCCACAGAGTTTTGGGAGGGAAGAAAGACATCGAGCCACACTACATTTCAGATCTGATGGTCTTTGAAAGCACCATGGAGAGATGTTACTGGCTATTGCTGCTTTGCCTCTTATGGTCCAGATTTTGTAATCCAAGTATCTGCAGGCCTGGATGATGGACTTGAGATGTGCAACTTTCTTGGAGATACTAATCTATTTTCAGTGCCCTGAAGAAGAGTCAGAGATAGGGAAGTCAGTGATGGGACTGAGGATTTGAGGACATTGTACAGAAACTTGAGATATGTCATAAATATTTCATAGTTTGGCAGCAAATCAACCATCTTGCACCATGGGCATGTTGCTTGGAGCAAAAGAATCTTTTATCCACCAAAAGGCAAGAAGGTTTCAGCAGGTACTTATCACTTAGTCCACTGAGGAAGACACAGGACACTGTTTCAAATACAGAGGGGAAATTCACCCTACATGTTCCAGCAGAAAATGTGATACATGTCTGTGGGTGCTGAACACTGGCTCTCTGAATTTTGTGTCATCCTACACTGTCCCTCTCCCCTGAAGTCCATTCCCTTGGGCTCTGGGCTTCCTTCACTCAACACATGAGTACAGAACCCCAGGGGGCTCTGCCTACACCTTGCCCCATGGCGTGGCAGGCTGTTTTCATTTTCACAGTCTCCTGTTGCTGTTGGAAAAAAATAGTCTTGGTGATGATCTTCAGCACTAATAGTGGGCACTGGAAACCTGCCTGTGTCCAACTGAACAGGCTTTGTATCCTGTGTTTTCTGAACAGAGCATTACTGCAGCATACAGTAAACATGAAGGAAAAACTGTGGATGAGGCCAAGATTGCCTTCTTGAAAATGATCCACCGGTGGCCAACATTTGGATCAGCCTTCTTTGAGGTGAAGGTAGGTTTGAAGGCCTATATGAATGGATCTGGTAGCAGAACAGCACTGGGGCATACAGGCTAACTCTAATTCCATAGCTATGTGAGGATACATTATAAACCTGAATTCCTATCATCTGTGGAGAGAAACTCAGTTCCTTGAAAGTGGAGAGAGAGGTCCTTCACCCATTCTGAACTGTGCCTGTTATTTTCTGGCTATGTTGTTCCACTGGTAATACCTAATATTACAACTATGTAGTAGTTGTAGGGAGCTTTTAGTTAAGTAGATACTTAATTGTCCTGTCATTGTTCTCCAAAACAAAACACTGCCAAATCTTGTATCTCTGGGGACTTTTCCCCCAGAACAGACTGTACTAATCCTCCTGTTCTGGAGTGGATATGTCTGAGAACCATTTCCCACTTGCTACCTTTAACTTCTCCTCCCTGGGCTCTTATCTGGTTTGCAACTAACCATTAAGCCTGTTTACAGAAAGCCTAGTAAATGATGGACCTGATTCTGCTCCCACTTAGCAATTGCCCAAGCCATCAACATATGGCCTAAATGTGTTCCTTTGGGAAAGAGAACAAGCAGCACTGGGCACTGTTAAAGGTCACTATGTACCTCATAGAGATAATTTCTTCATTTTCTGTTTATCCTGCTCTGTCACTTGTTTGCAGCAAGCCTCAGAGCCAAACTTCCCAGAGATCGTGCTGATTGCAATCAACAAGCAAGGGGTCTCACTGATACATCAGAAAACAAAGGTAACAGTTGCTTCTCACCAATCTATCTACAGAAGGATTTAATTGACTGTGCTAATCTAGGGACAGCAAGAAAAGACAATATACCACTAGTCTGAGTGCAAGAACTGCCTTGATCTGCAGTGTTTATAAATGAAGGGGAAAGAAAAACAATCATAGAATCATAGAATCAGCTGGGTTGGAAAAGACCTCCAAGATCATCAAGTCCAACCCTACCGTGGTCACTAGACCATGGCGCTAAGTGCCACATCCAGTCTCATCTTGAAAACCTCCAGGGATGGGGAATCCACCACCTCCCTGGGCAGCACATTCCAGTGCCTGATCACTCTCTCCCTAAAAATCTCTTCCTAATCTCCAACCTAACCCTCCCCTGGCAGAGCTTGAGTCTGTGCCCTCGTGTCCTGCTGCTGGTTGCCTGGGAGAAGAGACCACCCCCCACCTGACTCCAGCCTCCTGTCAGGGAGTTGCAGAGGGTGATAAGGGCTCCCCTGAGCCTCCTCTTCTCCAGGCTGAACCCCCCCAGCTCCCTCAGCCTCTCCTCATGGCACTTGTGCTCCAGTCCCTTCACCCGCCTCGTGGCTCTTCTCAGGACCTGCTCCAGCACCTCAATGTCCCTCCTGAACTGAGGGGCCAGAACTGAGCACAGGATTCAAGGTGTGGCCTCACCAGCGCCGAGTGCAGGGGCAGAATCACCTCCTGGTCCTGCTGACCACACTGTTCCTGATCCAGGCCAGGATGCCATTGGCCTCCTTGCCCACCTGAGCACACTGCTGGCTCATGTTCAGCTTCCTGGTGATCCATGCTTGGCTCCACAGGTTTTCTTACATAACAGCCTGATTTCATTTGAGAAATGATCTACAGTTCAGTTTGTTTCCCCTTACAGGATATTTTAGCAGTCTACCCTTTCAATAAGATCTCCAACTGGAGCAGTGGGAGCACCTACTTTCACATGACAATAGGGAACCTGGTACGAGGAAACCGGCTCTTATGTGAGACATCTCTGGTAAGCAGAGTTTGTGCAACAAACAAGAAACTCCTCATTCTTCCTTTACCTCCACAACTGCTACAAAACAATGGTGACAAACCAGAGAAATACCAGTGCAGACACAGAAAGCATTCGCTGCTGTGTCGATAAAATTGACATTTAGAACTGGCTCAGTGCTATATAATGTCACCTGGTATAAGACAAAGAATACATGGAAAAATAGTTATTTCCCAAGCTCTTCCCATACAACTAAATTCTATCCACCAGAGATATTAAGGTAAGACTGCACTTACCCACAACACTAGGAAAGAGGCTTTTTGTCTGTCATGTTTGCCTCCACATAGGCAATAACATCAGCCTTGTGAGATCTGACACTTTCCAGTGAGTGGTACCACCTTTCTAACAGTTGGTTACAGGTGTGTGATGACCCACCCTTAAGGGGAAGGAAGCACCTGAGATTTGAAAATGCTCCTGGTCAAAAGGAATAACAAAAATCAGAGGATCTGCAAACAATCAGTAGTAAATTACACACTTGGCATGGAAATTGCTGTGTCAGCCCCTTACCTACTGTATAAGTACATGACAGTGGGTTTTGGATAAAGGGGTGGGGTGAAAGGGAAGAGGAAAATTAAAAAGGGAGAGATGAATTAAAGAGAGAAAAAGGAAATGAGAGGAAAAAAAGAGATCACCAGTCCTGGTTCTAGCACGGATCCAGCTGATGGGATGTGGGTCCTGGCTTCAGCAATGATCCAGCTGATAATCCTTGTCTCACACCAATCCAGCTGTGTTGGTCTGTGTAGTGAGATGTCCAGGGAGTGCCACCGTGGCTTGGGGGGGTTACCTTTTGATGGATGGGTTTCTTTGCTCTGTCTCCACGTGGTCTCCCTTCTCCAGCCAGATCTTGTTCTTTCTCACAGTCTGTCAAGACCAACAGTCCTTGGCAGGCTCTGCAGCCATCCAGTTACTGGTACTTGAGACATACACATTAGCCCCTTATCTTCTGGAGCTCAACAGGGTCTCAAAGAGTAGGTTTTAGTCATAGTAATTTCCCATCCCAGTTCAATCACAAAATATTATTCTACTTGTGTTGTTATTCAGGCAAGAAAAGTAAGTGTCCAAGGCTGTTTGTTAAAAAACCTGGAGCTCATTAGCCAGCACTAGTTCCTGGGAACAGTGTTTCTGGTAAGCCCAAGAGCTCATCCCTGTGCAGTTCATCAAGGCTGAGGCCTAATGAGCATTCCTAAGATCACAACATGGCCTAGGGAGGGGATGCACCACCACATCCAGCCCATGACTAAAGTCACCTTCTCTGGGGCTCTACACAGTGTCCACAGGCTCAGGCAGGCATCACTGTACTAATATTTAAAGGTCAATTTGTAAAGGTAACAAAAGCATTTCAGGGATAACTTCTCTGAGAAAAGCTTGGATTTTTAAGTAGAAGCTTCTTAAGCTATAGAGTGAACACCACAGAGATGGCAGAGCTCTGCTCTGTAAAGGTTTGGAAATCTACGAAGGGAAGAACAGGAGGAGGAGTAGATAAAAGACTATTGAAACAGTGACAGCTGTTGAAAGAGATGTGCATGCAGCAAAGAACTGAAGAAGATAAAACAGGGAGGGAACTGTAGTTATTTTTCCTCCTGGAGCTCTCTGAGAGACTTTTTTCTTCCCTGCAGGGTTACAAAATGGATGACCTGCTAACATCCTATGTCCGCCTGCTCATGAACGCTGTAAACAAGCAAAAGACCCTCCCAGCCTGAGAGTGGAAATAGAGCCCCTGACCTGAGTCTGTGCCAAACTACCTGTAATTTCATCTTCCAGAAGAAATGCCATTTCAAAAACATTTATCTTGATGATCAGTCTTCTGATCACGCTGAATGAACTGAGTTGCTGACGTATTACTACGAGAGAAGCTCAAGTGAGCACATGCTTTCAAAAATCTGTAACTCTTGTCTGTCTTAAATGTAGTATATTCCATTCAGATTTTGGATTTAGAGGAAGTTTGTCTGGACTTTAATGTAATATGGGAGCAGGAGAACCCTTTGAGGGCCTGTCCTGAGAGCCTGAATCTCCTCCCTTCTTCAAGAGAGACACAGTCCCAGTTGTCTTCCTTTTGGAAAGAAAACATCCTCTTGTTGTATCTGCTCTTACCAAATGCATAAACTCCCTGAGTCTTTGGAAATAAGGTGATGCTAATTTTTCCCTTCTATTGGAAATTCTAAGAGTGTAGGAATGCAGGAGGGTAACTGGACAGTTTGAAAGGTTTTTGTCCTTGTATCCCTAGGTTATGTGTGCAAGTAGACTATGGCAGAGAGTTACTGCCAGAATGTAACTGTCCTTGTGTGCTGCTACATGAGCAGCCCAGACTGTCCCTGGGATTGCTGTTGCCTTGGATAAATTAAATAGTCTCCTTCCTTCCACATTTTGCAATGCACTTGGAAAATAACAACTACTAGTACGCATAAGCAAACTCCAAAATGAGTCTGGATTTTGGGCATTAGTTGCTCCCACTTCAAGTTATAGATGAGCTATTCAGTGCAAATAAGCATCAAAGAACTCAGTCTAAGAGACATCTGCTAAAAAGAGGCTTTTCTGCTCTATGAAAATGTTCTCAGCTTGGAGCTATGCAGACATTCCTTCATGAGACAAGAATAATAGCTTCAATTTCTCCCGATCGTTACTATTTCCTGTTTAGCAGACAGTTTGAGTGGTAAAATTTGATTCAGCACTTGTTCCTCTCTCAGAGCTTTGTAGACACACAGCTTTGGTCCCACAGGCACCAGAGTGTGCTCGGAGTGTGTAAAGCAGATGTGCACTGTGGTGGGAGCAAGCCTAGATGTTATCCCCTCAGAGTGCAAGCACTCCTTCCTCCCTGACAGGCCCTCCCTCCCTCCCAGTGAAACATGGACATGTCTTAAAGCATTTACACCAAGTTCCTTGAGACAGGATCTGGCAGTGCTGGACAAGCAGCTCTGCCTGATCTCTCCACTTTGCCAATGGATGCACAATGGCTCTCTTGTCCCCTCGGAGTGTGTGCGTGAAGTTCAGACCCTGGTGGGAGATTTGTGCAGGGGTGGCAGGGAAGAGCCCACTCTGTGCATCTAAACGAGTGCCACACTTGTCAGAGCAGCTGATCCTTTTGCAAGCAATTACTCACTCCTGCTGTAATGTCCATTGCTGGCAATGGAAACGCTGGAAACTAAAGACTTGGAGTGGTTTTGTCATCCTGTGTCTGATCTAACTGGCTCTAAGCGAGAAACGTTCGGTACTTCACCTGGACAAAAAAAGAAATTTTGCAGCCAAACTATAATGTTCCTGGTTTTTAAATAAATACTGCAGAAAACCAACCACAGTGTCTTTTTTTACCAAGAAAAGTATGTGCTCCAGATCCATGTAACCTCAACATACCAAACATCCACTACAGCCTGTAAGTGATCATAGCACACCTCGTTATATACACAGCACAACCTGTACAACAGAGGATGACACTCCTTTCTGCACATCCTCATCAGCCATCACCACCTGCACATCCTCATCACTGCCACAGATGCAGCACAGACCCAAAATGTTCCCAGAGTATGTAATGCTCTCTGGCTCAGCACTGCAAAAGGAAAATGTTTTAAACTGTAGGTTACACAACTTGTTTACATTTGGGGTTTTTTTGTGCAAAGATTTAAAATGTCTTACAGTTTACTTTATTACAGGAACATAAAAGGGTACAGTATTGCAGCATTTCAATCCACAATCACATGCTTTGGTTAGACAGCAGAAGCAATGTCTGGTAATGTGGGAGCTCTGCAGGGTGCAGAACCCACACTGCTCATCAAGGCCTGAACCAAGGCAGGGAGCTGCTAATTCTCTTGCTCAGTCTACGACACCCTCAGCACTTAACAGTGCTTTACAGACTAGTATAACCACGTTCAATACATGTTTGCCTGCACTCTATTCCCTCAGCATCCAACCACTTGTGAGAAAAGCATCAGTCATATCATCCAATACAATCCTGTGACATCTAGAGTCTCTCTGTACACAAGGCTGACCAGGATTTGCCAACATTGCACAGACTGCTGCAAAAATAAAGAGCAGGATGAAAACCCTAGAGAGCAGATTAGTTGCCATAAAGGAAGACTGCAAGTGATTAGCATACCCTCTGAATGCAAACAAGCTTCACACACTGTGCTTTCTAAAAGCAAACCCAGTTTCAAGTGTACTCAGTGAATGTTAGTGATTTTAGTTATGTATAAATATGAATGCAAACTATAAATGTATAGAATGAGACAACAGCTTTTAGTAGGTGTAGACTTTTAAGCCAAGTTCAACTTTGATATAAACCTACTCTGCAGTGGTGTGATACCTAGGATGAATTTGGCCAACAGGTCTATTTATAGCAATGGAAAACAGCATGTAGCTTATTTTTGACTGACACACTGACTTTATTTACTGAAACCACCAAAACCTGTCAGGCTAGCAGCACACTAAGGAGGATTCCTAAGTCTGCACTATATTCTACTTGGATTTTAAAAAGTAGACTCGAAGTAGAAGATGTATTTTTTAAACTATTCATAGTTATTTCTCCTACTTCTTCAACTCCATTCTCCCACAAAAGGTATGTCAGCAATATTCACTGCTGTAACTCTGCACGTAGCAGGCTATGGGCAGCAGGAGGGTAAGGAAAATAACTGTGAAAAATTAATAATGTAAGAGATACTAAGAGAATATCACCCTCCACTAACACAGAGATCAGGATCATGATGACTTTTTTCCTCCACTAATTTTGCAAAATCTCCTGAAGATAAGGACATAATCCAAGTCCTAGAGAACTGAACAGTTTATCAAAGGGAATTCCATCAACTCTCCTTTGAACTCTGAAGCTTACTAGGTCTCCTCACTTTCTGACACGAGACAAGGTGAGAACACACACTAACTCTCTGCCTGCAGTACAAAAGTAATTCCATTCACCTCCACACACATGCATTTTCCATTGCTTACCTTGAGAGTGGCCACAGAAAGAATATTACCCATTGCCTGCTAGTTACATAGTCCTTCCATATTTACCAGGAGTGTGTGGCTGTGGGTGCCTCCAGCACCTTCCCAGGAAGCTGGGGATACCCACACGCTCAGATTTAGCATTAGACATGGCCTGAGACTAGAATTACAGGAGCAGACTGGAATGCTTTATGCTGAGAAGAATCTGCATAACATACTGAGCTGCACCTAGATCAGTACTTGTGTTTTATGCTGTGATAAAAATGCCAAACACTAGGCCTACAGGGCAGGTCTTTGCAGTGGCCACACACTACTGCTGCAGCAAGAGACATGCTGCTCTTTGTGCCCTTAACTAAAAGACTGTTTTAAGGCTGGTGAGAGAACAGTGAGTAGCCACATGTTCTCCTAAAGCAGTGACTCAAGCAACTACTGTTACTGGAATCTACAGTGCAGATTGGTCAGGAGAGGATGGCAGAGCTCTACTGTTAAAATCAGGCCTCTCCCTCCATTAGTGTTTTAGTAGATACAATATAACCCAGTTAAAAGTTTATGGTAACCTCTGGCAACAGAAAGCAAAGCAGCTGAAGGAAACTGAGTTAGCCAAGACAGTGAGGATCTAAGAGATGGTCTCACATGTGGGATTCTGATCTCCACACAGTGAACCAGGATTTCTCTCCACTGCTGTGGCATGACTGGTGCAGTTCCATGGGTGGTAACACAGTTTCAAGGTAGATTATTGCCCCAATCCAGTTGCTGCTCACACACACAAGAACTGAGGAACCTAACTTCTTCCTAGTGAATTCGCATGGGACTGCAGGGTAGTACCTGGGCCCAGTCGCTGTGCTCATGGGACCTACTAAACTAGCCACTTTGTGGAAGATGTAGACATGCAATGGACAGTAGTCCTCTAGTGCTTGTCAGCCTCGCAAAAGGGCAGGCACAGTCTCACAGCTGTTCATGGAAAGGGGTTTTCAGGCTGCTTAGCTTAGTTCAGCACAAGAAACTACAGGAGAACCCTTCAGAGGACTCAGAAGCTCACTGTGATTATACAACATGCAGGTGGGCTCAGGGACAGCACTGCTGATGGCTCACCCCTAGAGAAGTATTGAGAAGGTTCAAACCCAGTAAATTTCTCAGCACCTTGGGTTGTAGTAGTAGAGACAACAGGACAAGTGAAACTTCACTGGTGACAAGCAAAACTACAGAGCAAGACTATATGCTAGAGATGTACAGATTCATGTCTGAGATCCTCTCTTGAAGTATGCTTAAGGCTTAAGCATACTCTGAGGAAAATACTCCGGGGTTTTTCTGCATGAGACCATATTTGCTACAAACTGTAAACATCAGAAACCCCTTCATATAACTGGGCTCTCTGGAGCATAAGCAACAAGCACATCCTCAGCTTTCAAAGTGTGCATGGGGAAATCGAAGTGCTTAAATTGGTAGCATAGTATCCATCTGATTTCACCATGCCAAAGAGTAACCAAAGCTCCAGCCACACTGCCTCAAGAAATACCAGCTGTGCCAGTAGACAGGACATGCTTTGTGTGGACCAGTAGAAGCTCTAGTAGCCATGTAGTGGTAAAGAACAACTGAGAAAATTAGAGGGTCAGTTCTAACAAAATGTTTCATTTCCCATAGCCACCTCCTTCCCAAGGAGAGCCCAGCTATTCTGAGGAGTCTGACATGGCCTTGACAGCTGAAATCCCCTTAGTAGTGAACAGAGAAGCAGCAAAGCAAACTTCTTCAGCTGTCTTAGCACTGGACCTAAGCCAGACAAGAGAGCAGTGCAGATGCCACAGCTATTGGTTCCTAGGCTGTCCCAGTAAATCTGCAAACCAGACTGTGCAGCATCTGCATATGTTCACTAGGAATCTGGAGAAAGACCAGAACATTTTGCATGTAGCAAAGACTGACAAATTTCAGACTGTTTGCCTATATATTAGAAAATTAAGTGTCTTCACCCACAATAAGAAGAAAAACTTTGATACTTTAAGTCTTAAAGAGCAAATCAGACATTCCTTCCACCCCTACACTTGACCACTGTTTCCAAATTCCTTAGACTACAGAGAAATGGAGAGAGAACTACAGTTCAGCAGAGGAAGGAAAGACTGTGTACAATTCCACGAGGGCAAAATGTGTTATTAGCAAGTTAATAACCAGCCTGTAAACTGCTCAAGCCGAAATCATACTCCTCTTTCTGCCAGTGTTAACAGCTAATTGCTTCAGAAGAGGGACAGTCAGGATGCAAGTGACGTTACCAGAATCAGGGGAAAGTACTGCTTATCTTTGGTTTCACTTAGTGATTGCCTCTGTAACCAACAGCTGCAGTGAGCAGCAGCAGCTGATGCACGAGTGCTGTCAGAGACTGACTGACAGACCTGTTTAAGCAGAGTTTAACTCTAGAGCTTTGGGATGGGCCTTCTTGGATGCAAGTTCTGACAGCTTCTTCAGGCGTTTCTTCAGCTCCAAAGGGAATTTCTCATAGCACTTCTTGCACACAGGCTTCATGTCAAACTCCACAAATTTATTCCTTTAACACAAAGAACAGTCATTAAAATGGTATTTGCAAATGATATGTTTTACTAAATCAAATCTCCATTCATCAGGTAAAAGCTGTTGTTTGTGTATATGCATGGACACAACATCACACTTCCTTGCCTGGTGACGTAAGTACAGAGATTAGGTTTTCACCAGGGTCTTTAGCATCCCTAGGTTAAATAAGGAGCAAGATTGTGCTATGTATTTGTATGTAACAGTCCAGAATAATAATTCTGTTATCCTAGAATGAAAGTTTCACTTCAAAGCTCCTCTTTGTGAGGAGTTAGAGCTCCTTCATATACCAGGCACTGCAGGGTAAGGATTTGAACCTGACAAAGGAAAAATCTACAATTGCTTTTTTCCTGTCCTCCTTCTACATATTTGAGGTAACTAGCACAGTACTGTATTTTGAGAATAGTCCATGCAACAGCAAATATTGTCATTGAAAGGACCATCTAGATGAGAAGAAACAGAGGCTGCAGGTTGTTCGGGACAGGCAGTTCCTTGAAGTTTAGAGCCTGCCCTCTGTACTGCTGAATGAGTTCCCCTCTTAGCCAACCTTCTTACAGAACAGATTAATGAAGGAAAACAAACCAGAGAGGATGCTGAGTCCCAGCTCCCTTTTAACTGCTGAAATCAGTGGAATTATAAGCACCTGCTCCCACACAGAAAAAGGGTATTGCCCCTCAGAGAGGTGTTGGCTCATGGCTCCCCCAAGCTCATACCAGGCCTTAGGGGCAAATGTCTCACATGGTGCAAAATATAAACAGTGACTTACTTCAGTGTGAGCTTGATGTTGCAGGTGGAGCAGGAGAAGCAGTTCACACACCAGGCCTTGTTTAGAGCTGACACCACTGCAAAAGCACAGAGTAAAAGAAAACTGCTGGATTATCTGAATTCAAATGAGGCCAGATGTGAAAACAAACACTGGTGCCTTGCAACTGTGGGACTGCAACAGCTGCACTAACAAATGGAACAAGGACAGCAACCCAAACCAAGGAGAGAACAAATCTTACCATCTCCCTCTATCACGTGGCTGCAGTTGTAGCAGACATCCCCAAAGAGCTGCACAGAAAAAGAAACAAGAACAGGAACTCGTATTGCTGACTACTCATGCTCCCCAAATTATGCAGCTGGTGTGAACATTAAATCCTAACTATCAAAGAATTTCCAGACACTGCAGTAGCCCCCAAATCTTCTGAATAACTTCTCATACACTTGCCAAATAGTCTATGTTCCTTTGGATGTCATACCATTAAACACTACAAACCCTTTTTTGTGGATGTCTCACACTCTACTACTGTTAAGTGATCCTAAAGTACTGTACATGTGGCAGTTGGAGAGAAGAGGATCAGTACAGTATGATGCTCACTGTAGACAAACATCTCCTGATGCTTAAAAATAAATACCAAAATAAAACCTAGAGCTACTATCAAAACAGTAACACTTAGCTCTTATGAGAAAATGAGACTACTTTATCTGACAGAAGAAAATAACAAATTCATAGTTGCTCAGTAGGACCATACCAAAAAAATAGGGTTTGATTGGCTTTTGAAACATATTTTTCTAATGCTTGAGACAGCACAAGGAGTTCAGAAGTAGGATTAGAGGGATTTTAATCACAATCCATGGCCAGGGTTCTTTTCTGTCAGTAGCACAAAGAAAAATCAATATCCCCAAGACATTTCTATTCTGTTCTCAGTTTCCATCTATCAAGAAAAACTATTTTCTCCTCTTCAATCCAATTTCTTAATATTGCATTGCCTCTACAAATTCAGATTAGGCAAAATCTGCATAGGTTTGCATATGTGAAATGCTAATGTCAGAGCAAGTACCTACATCATCAATGGCAGAATTTACCTGGTTATAATGAGTCTCACAATAAGCCAGTCCTTTTTTCTCATAGTGTCGGTGCCCCAGGAATGGCTTCTCACATTTGGCACAAACAAAATGCTGCAGAAGAAGAAATGACATTCTGTGACAGGCAAAGTGACTTTTCCATCACTGGGGAAAAACTTCGATGGCTACAAATTGTGGCTCAGTATGTGACACTTAATCATAGGATAGTCTGGGTTGGAAGAAGCCGCAAAGATCATCTTGTTCCAACCCCTCTGCCATAGGCAGGGACACTTTCCACTAGCCCAGGCTGCTCCAGGGATGGAGCAGTCACAGCTTCTCTGGGCAACCTGTGCCAGTACCTCACCACCCTCACAGAGAAGAATTTCTTCCCAATACCTAATCTAAATCTACTCTCTGTCAGTTTAAAACTGTTACCCCTTCATGCTTTAATGAAACTCAAGACAGTAAAATCTTTATCGACGTGAAAGAAAAGAGGAGGTATTTAGTTTACTATACTAATCAAGAATGGTGTTAAAGAAAGGCAGAAGACCTGCTGGAAGGGCCCTCAGCTTGTGACTACACTGCTAGGCTTGTTCAGGGAAGAGAAACAAGAACACAAAGCACAGCTGGTATGAATGCACTTCACATGAGCAGCAGCATCTCTCAGTTCAAGCCTTAGGAGGCTTAACTCACAAAAAACATTTAGGGCAAGTTGTGGTGCCTCAGCTGAAAGGTACAGAAACAACAAGCTGAAAAGGCTTAAAGAGCAAGAATTGCACTGGCTCTGGCTGCAGTACAAATCCCAGCACTGTGACATACCTGGGGCTGGGGAGGATATATCTAAGTACATCACAGCAAATATGTGGATTTATTGTTAAGTAAATGCTATTCAGTGAAGCATATTCTGCAAGAACCTTCACCATGCAACTCAGGCATTTTAAAATTATCACAGCTGTGAGAGCACAGCTTTCTTAGGAACCCTGACAGCTCTGCTGTACTCATTCACCCACAAAAGGTGACAATCTGAAACAAGAACTTGGGTTTTATCTGAAGTCATGGAGTACAGAACACCGAAATGTCTACAGCTTCCAACTAGCACCATTCCTCTTCCAGCCTGGCTCCTGGAGGAAGTCAGAGGCTCAGAGAGGCCTCACCTCAACATGCCACTGCTTGCCCAGCGCGTTGACCACGCGGCCCTCGATGGGCCTGCGGCAGGCCCCGCAGATGGGGATGCCCATCTTGTCGTGGCAGGGTAGGCAGTACAGCTCCCCCTTCAGCTCCCGTGCCTCGGCTGTCAGCTCCTTCCTGAAACACAAACAAGGCCCTCAATTAACAACACCAAGCAAAGCTCTTTAATGCCCAAGATGAAGTTTTGGAAGTCTAAACTTGAGAGTTAACGTATTTAGGCAACGTTCACGCTACAAATGGAGAGTCATTAAGTTAAGCTAATGAAATACAGTTATTGTCAACTCATCTTTCTAAAAGGGCTTCCTCAGTTTGCCTGACAACGTATGTGGAATATCATGGACACTCTCACAGAAATAAAAGGTGGACCTACAGGGAACAATGCAGTGTCACCTTTGAAAGGGAAAGGTTAGGTTACAAGGACCATCCTAGCAGCGCTCAGCACTGAGCCACTGACTTTGTTCTTCAGCATTGCTACCTGTTTTAGGGCAGTGCTGAGCCCCAGTTACTGCCTTCATGGGAAATAGTGTAGGTCAGACAGGTATCAGTGTGGTAACAGACTGTGCCTTTTTTCTCTAACCAGGACTTCCAAGTGAAACTATTTTGGATAGCCTGGTAACAGCTCTCTTTGGACAACATTACTATTGCAATCTGCACACAGCCCTGCAGGTAAGTTCATACCAAGGAACTATTTTTATCTTCAGTATAAAAGAGCATCATTCAAGTTGAGAATAAAATAACATTGAGTGGTCAAATCAAACTAAATTTCCTGTAGGCTTTCCAAATTTCTCCTCACACAATTTCTTACTGTTCAACAATGTGAAGGCAGCAAAGTTTAGGCCCTGGAAAGGACAGCAGTGCTGACTGAACTGTTTGGCTCCCTCCTTTTCTGTCAGAGCTTACAGTATGAGAACATACCCACAGTGGGTGCAGTTGAAGTGATCTGGATGGTAGGAATCATTCCTAAACATCAGAGGCTGCTCATCAATTATCAAGTGGCACTTCTGACAGATGTACTTGCCCAGGCCCTTAGCTTTTTCCCGGTTATGGCACGGCCTGCACAGATGCCTGGGTGAACAAAGTAAAGAAAACAGAACATTCAAAAATTCTCTCCTAAAACAACATACAGTCCAAACTGTAAGACGCGCTTCATGTAACAGAAGTGTTTTCTGAGGTCAGACTAAACAGGTAGTAAAGCCCAGGCAAAGGCATAAAACCTTGTGTCAAGGCTGATGGAACCACATGTTTTATCCCAATATTTAGAAGCTCTGAGGAGCAGCTATTCAGGTTACTTGCCTGCAATGCTGCAGGCTAGGAAGAATTTATGACAAAATGACAGAGGAATGACTTCTGTGGGCTGCTTCACCCCCAAACTAACAAGCCTGCTTAATTCCTTTCCCTGCACCACTATGTCAAACAGATTCACAGGTCATTCTCAGCAGACCCCAGACAAAAGGAAAAGCTCAAATGAAAAGGGCAGATTTATGGCTGAAGCAGTGGGTCCTTCGCAGGGCCCCTTCCAAATTTCTGCTGGGATGAATCACCCTCAGATCTGTAAAATGGGGACGAGAATACAACACAGATGTTGTTGTGTGACCTCAAACATTTATGACCCTCCGCTGGCAGGCGCCTGTCTAAGTGCTAAGTATCATTATTATTCTCTCCAAATCTGAGTCCTCCTGTCAGCAAGTGTCTCTGTCCAGGGCTTAAGTCCTGCCTGCCCAGACAGAGCCCAGCAAAAGCAGACAGCCCCCCATTATAAGGAAACATGCAGCTGTGCTCATCTCAGCATAAAGGCATCAATTTTATTCGGCACTGTCAAACGCAGAGCAATTATACAGGGCAGGACATGGGGACCCCGAAGCAAGTGTCCTGAAAGGGACCCCTCTCATTCAGCTGAATGAGATGCCTTCAGCCACTTGCACTGATAAACCATTATCAACCCCCTCCCCACTCCCAAACCCTCCCTGCCCTTCCATACACCCTCCTCAACTGCAAGCAAAGGGAAGTGTTGGACAGGCTAAGCTGTTACCATAGCAGCCTCCCCTCTCCCTCTCCCACCATTATGGAATTATCCCATTCTGAAATGTCCTGTTGTGTCTATTAATACTAGATTTCCCCCAAACAATGCCTCTCTCCACCCTCCTGAAATAATCAGGGGACTCCAAGAAGTCTGTGTTCACGGCTGGGAGGTCAGCAGCAGCTTTCAGTCAGCACCATGAACACTGGAATATTCATGCAGGATATTCATATCTATACCAGCAGCAGCGAACCCAGTGCCAAGAGCTCAGCTGGGATGAAGACTGCTCCTCAGTGCTGGGGTGTCCTCTGTCCTGCTCTGTTGTGTGACTGAGCTGATAATGCTCTATCAGAGTGAGAAGGACACTATATAGAGGGACTTCCCTCTCCACCCTCAGCAACTCTGCAACTGTGCACTCCTTTGGGATTCTTCTCCGTTGCTGTTTCTATTTGGTTTGCTGTCGTCAGGAGTTCCTGGAGATTTTCCCTGAAAGGACCCTATACTCCACCCAGAGGACTGCACTGTGAAGAGGTAAGAGACAAACTTCTGTTAGCAGGAGCTTTGGGATCTTTTTTTTTGGAGCTTTGTTTTTAGGAGCTTTTTTTTAGGAGCTTTCCTAATGGCATTAGTTTTAGCTGGTGCCAGTAAGGTAGAAATATACAAACACACACAGAGGTGGATTAATATAATGGAAATGTTTGAAACTAAGAATAGACAGCACTTTTTTGAACTTCAAAGAATAATTTCCTCACCTTTCTTTACACACCTCCTTCAAAACATACAAGTTTTGTACCCAATGTATATCCATTTGTGCCAGTTGTATGGTATGCCCAGTGCTCTCTGACAGTGCTTTGATGCTCACAAGAAACAAGTATTTCAGCTGAAGGGTGGCAGGCTCAGCAGAGAGTGATTTTCAGGAGAATACCTTCAGTTCCAAGTGGACTATTTCTATGAAGAGTACTTTCAGTAGAAGACAGGAGACATTCCTATTTGACGAGATAAAACTCCACAAAGCAGAGCTGCTCCAGCTGAGAGCAAGAACCGAAATTTCTGATACCCACAACAAACCCTAACATATAGCTCAATTTTTCTGTAGTGAGCACTACAAGAAAAGCTCCAACCTAGCCACGTAACTAACTTATATTAGACTAACGATCTGTTCTAGTTAATTGCTTCATTAACGACAGACAGAACATCCGCTGAAGGAGTACTGGGGCTGTGGCTACAGTGACAGCCCTGTGGATTGCTACACTGCTTGTTTCTGCACAGAGCAGAAACAGGGCATAAAACATGGCCAGTGTGCCTGCATTTCAAATGGGCAGTGCCATCCCTCACAGCTCAGCCCTGGGAGGCCTGGGATAACAGCTCACCCCACAACAGTGCTCTGTTCAGCAGCACATAAATCACCAAATATTCTCCCAACACCAAGAGCGCAATCCAAGTGGAAATTATCGGATAATGAGCCACACTACTGAAGGAGTTTTCTGTCTCTGGACTCAAAGCCTCTTGCACTATATAGCTTAGCATGAACTACACATTCTAGGTCATTTAGGAAGGTTTCTAGTTTGCTCTGAGCATTCATACAGACTGGCACAACAAGCTTGCCAGGACTCTGAGTGCTTTTTTTGTGAGCACAACAAACAAAAAAGGAAGGAGAAAAAAAAAGAATATTGACCACATTTAGTTCAAACTGATAGGATAAAACCAGGCAAAATAGAAGTGGAACAGCCAGTAACAGGGAGAGAATTACTACTTTTGTAAAGCTGTAGCATTTTGTTGAAAACATACATACATTCTAACAATAAGCTCAGCAAGTAATTCCAGTGTTGTGCCAGCTTTGTTCCTAACCTGCTGTTGAAAAAAAAGGAAAAATAAACAAATCTTTTATTAAAATTTCCTTCTAATTAAAAACATAAGCCACATTAGAATAAGGAGCACTTTCCTTTTCTGATTTCTAATCAGACAACGAAAAAGCTTGCAAACAGAGAAAACTCTGGTTACTGCTTTGCTTCCTGAACTGATTTAAATCATTACCAGTAAGACACATCCCAGTCTGTTCCACTAGACAACTCTTGCCTTTTCAGCAGCTCCAGCCCAGCACTTACTGCTTGCTGGGATATACTCAGATATATACTCGCATATATTTTTATAGACACAATGTCCCTGGGACAAAAGGGCTGTACAATCTTCCTGCCAGATGCAATTGCAAATGCAAGTCATGACAAGACAGTAATTTGTTATTTAGACTCAAACCCAGAGCCTTTCTTGTGCCATAAACATGCAGAGCACCCATGCAGTGCATGAAGGGAGAAAGGCCCTCTGTGGCCACGGGAAGCAATTTCAGTTTCTGAATTTCATTCAGTTTCCCTTCTGTTGATTTTTGTCTCTTCAGCTGTGGACTAAACAGAATTGGTCCAACACATTAATCTCTAGCTACTGTAGTTTTCTCTTCACCTGAAAGTGACACTGTCAAACAGAAGATGCTAATTACCTTGGAATTTTGCTTTCTGATGTATTGGTCTGTCCTTAATCCATTTTCAGTTTCTCAACTATCCACCAAAAGTTTTAGACACATGAACAATGAGCTCTTTGGGAGGCTGGATGCACTGCATAATGTCTGATGATGGCATTTTTCAGCACACAGCACAGTTTCTGCCTGAGACTAAAAATTTTGCCTAGCAATGACAGCAATCATCTTCAGATCTGAATCTCAGTGGAGGAAAACTGATTTATTTAGAGATGTATTGAATATTGTGGAGAAATGGTGAATCAGTACATGATGCAGTAGTAAGCACAGCAAAGATACTGCTGCACATACTGTAACACCTCTAAGGAACCCCAGACACAGAGTGTGCTGAATTCCAGACTGCATTTCCCTGCCACATATACCCACAGATGAGCAATGGATAAAGAGCTGTGGGTAGGAGCCTGAAAATCTTACTTTGTGTTGCTGCTGCTCAGGACCCTGCAGGCAACTGAAACTGGCAAAGCTAAGCTCAGTTTTACTAAGCTGCTACTTGAAAAAGGCCCTGCATAAACTACAGTGGACTTCAGACTTTTGTGCAAGGAAGAGAGTTATGTTGGGGGATGAAAGCTGCAGAGAAGGATGAAACTTGGACAAGTGACTGACAGCATGGGCAATACTAAAAATCTTTTCTGAGTCAACTCAGTGCTTTTTGCAGTCAAACGAGATGTTGCTACCCACTGAAAAGTTCTCCCTGTATATGAACTAGGTGCATTTGCCTTGAATACAGGACTTTAGACTAGAATAATCCTCAAAGATTTTCAGGAACCCTGTGGAGTTTTTTCATAATAGCAATATCTGACCTGTCTACCTCTTCTAGGAAGAAGACATATATTCTAAGTGAGGTCACCTTACAACAGACACCTATGCTCAGAAAAGCTGTCTCATTAGGAGCTCCTCAGTCCTGAATCAGGCTTCAAAATAAAACAGCAAATATCTTCTAGCCAGACAAACAGAACCCACTTCCACTCTTCTGTTAACCAGACACACAAGCATCTCACTGACAGAACTGATCTCAGCACAGGGTGGAGGCAAGACCATCACCAGCTAGTCAGCTCTTTATAGAGGTTACTCCCACAGGAACTAGTGGTCTGAAAAATCCAGTCAAGCAAGTAGTATTCAGAATTTTCATGTAAGGATTTAAACTCAGACTGACCTGTCATATTAAATACCAACATTAGAAAACAGGAGATGCCATTGGCTTTCATGTGTGGTTTTTTGGTGTTTTGTTGACTTTGCTTGTTTGCTTTTTCCACAAACCCAGGCTCTTTTGTAATAAACTGTCTCAATTCTTTCAGGTGTTTGGGGATTTTTTTCATCAAAACAGTGGTGGAAAATGAATGGCCCAGGAGATTCCAGCCTACTCTTCAATTGCTCAAATCAATCAAATTTTGCTTGGGAAATGTCAGAGCAATGTGGCAAAGAGACACACCTCGAGAACATCCTTTTTGCCACTTTCTACTTCCTGGACTTCATCCTGGCTTTTGCTGGCAATGCCCTGGCTCTCTGGCTCTTCATCCGGGACCAGAAGTCAGACACACCTGCCAACATCTTCCTGATGCACCTTGCTGTGGCTGACCTGTCCTTTGTGCTGGTCCTTCCCACGCGGCTGGTGTACCATTTCTCTGGTAATCACTGGCCATTTGGTGAGATGCCATGCAGGCTCACTGGCTTCCTTTTTTACCTCAATATGTATGCCAGCATCTACTTCCTCATGTGTATCAGCGTGGACCGTTTCCTAGCCATCGTGCACCCTGTGAAGTCCATCAAGCTCCGCAGGCCTCGCTACGCCCACACGGCGTGTGCCTTTCTGTGGGTCATCGTTGGGGTGGCAATGGCACCGCTGCTGCTCAGCGTGCAGACAGTCCAGATGAGAAACACAACTGTCTGCCTGCAGCTCTACAGGGAGAAGGCCTCACGTCATGCCCTCGTGTCCTTAGCAGTGGCATTCACCTTCCCCTTCGTTACCACAGTGACTTGCTACTTACTCATCATCCGCAGCCTGCGGAGTGGGAACAGAGTGGAGAAGCACCTCAAGGAAAAAGCCATCAAAATGATCATCCTGGTCCTGATGATCTTTCTGATTTGCTTTGTACCTTATCACGTCAATCGCTACATTTACATTCTGCATTACAACGGGACCAAGACATCCTGTGAGACTCAGCGTGTCCTGGCCCTGAGCAACCGCATCACCTCCTGCCTCACCAGCCTCAACGGCGCCTTCGACCCCGTCATGTACTTCTTTGTCGCCGAGAAGTTCCGGGAGGCTCTGTGCAATCTCTTCTGTATTAAAAAGACTGTAATGCTGCCTCAAACATATGAGGGTAAGACAAACGAGAGCTCACTAAGTGCTAAATCTGAACTGTGAACATGACTCTCATCACTGCTTTGACTTCAGAATGTTCCCCCAAAATCAGCTGAGAGCACAAATATGCAGTGAGACAGTCCACCCCGGGGCAAACTCATCCTGAGAAGGAAAGTTTTGTTGCTTTTATAGGAATTCAGTTAGCAAGAATCCCTGTGACAACAGAGATCACATGCTCCTGTCTTACTGGAACTGTAAACAGAAGGACAGTTCTACTATTTCCAAGAGGCGAAACAGAGGGCTGAGCACTTAGGAAGGGGCAAAGAGGCAAATGGACCTTTCCTTCTAATAAAGAATTTCATTCCCAAAGCTCTCAGTGATGTCTCTTCCTCTGCACAACGCATACAGCTTACAGTGTTTTACTGTGCCAGCAGCAAAGCCACTCTGTGATAGATCTGCCTGATGAAAAAACAACACACTTGCACATCTTGTTCAAGTAGCAGAATTCAAAGCATTTATACATAGCGGACAGAAAATTGGTACTAAATGGTGACAAGAACAGACAGACCAAATTGTTGCACTGTCCAGCCTGGACTGGAATTAAGATAGGACTTAGCTGCTTTTTTTTTTTCTTTTTCACTTCTTCCCAGCATTCAGAGCTGGAGACAAGCACTGAACTTCTCACTACCTTCTCTATCTGCCCTCTGCCATTGCCCCAAAGCTGCACACAGCAGTTGGACAAAATTTAGTACACTGCCTCTGTTATGCAGTTCTCTGTAAAGCCCAGGTATCTGGATAATCCTCTAACTGAGCAGTGGAAAACGGCTGTTGGGAATACAGCATTTCACCTTTGCTACATACTCAGTTGTAAAATTATGAACCCAGATGGCAGAAGTGAAGAAAGTAAGTGTATAAAGAAGTCTGCTGTGTCCAGAAGAGATTCCTGTCTTTTATGATGTTTTACAATGCTTTGTTGTGACTTATTTAGCAAGACTTTTCCTTCACTATGGATAAAGTAGGTATTATCTTTAGTCTCACTGACCTTACAGATCATCTAGTCCCAATCCCCTGCCATGGGCAGGGACGACACCTCACTAGATCAGGTTGCTCAAGGCTCATCCAGCCTGGCTGTGAACACCACCAGGGTCAGGGCAGACACCACATCCCTGGGCAACCTGTGCCAGTGTCTCACCACCCTTAGAGTAAAAAACTTTTTTCACACATCCAACCTAGACTTTCCCTCCTTCATTTTGAACTCATTACCCCTTGTCCTATCACTGCAGTTCCTAACAATGAGGCCCTCTCCAGCTCCTTGTAGGCCCTTCAGAAATTCAAAAGTTGCTCTGAGGTCTTCACGCCGTCTTCTGTCCTCCAGTCCTGGCTGCTTTCCCAAAACACCATGAGGGCTACCACAACAGCTCACTCTAACACTTCAGGTGTCAAAAGAAAATCAATTACACCCAGGTCCAATAACTAAAGCACAGAAGTTGCACGCAGGGTGGAAGAGAAGAGGGAGTTGAGCAGGCTCCCAGCTGAACAGGGTACAAGCATATAACCTTTCCTTCCCTTCTTCACCATTTAGTTAGTGAAAATATAAACTTAGGAACTACTAAGCTTTGCTCGTGATGTATGAAGGCCTGATGTCAGCTCTGAATTGTGTTCCACTCTGCTAACTGCTAGACTGCTTTATTTTCTAGTCATGGTATGCTTTTATACAAGCTTTTGTTCTTTTACTTCTTACTTCTTAATTAAATGCATTAATTGACCTCTAGGACTCATTTTTCCATTTCTGTACATAAAATGAATGATTTCTGCAGACCAGGGGAATCACATGTTGAACAGACTTTGCTATAATCACTGTGTCCGTCTCTTGGCCTTTTGCTACATCTCGATTTCCTGTTCTGCAGCTTAACTTGATGAACAGCCTGCCCAGGGTCACAGAATCCCTTTTTCTCACTTAGTATCCAGCCTCTGCCTGAAATCCCTGTGTTTTCCAGAACCTACCCACTGGCTGCTAAAATCTGAGTTTCTGTGTGTTTCATTGGATGAAGAACCATGACCTTCACTCCATTTCCCATCTAACAGGTTATTCCTTAAAGCTTCTTCTGTACCTTTCCAAGCTTTGCCTCTCAGTGTACGACCACCTGACCACGCTGCATCAGTAACACACTGAGAAGACTTCCCGAGCTCCTGTCCTGCCCTACCTGCCAGCATTCTTCACAAAGCCCAGGTCAGCCAAGGTGACATCGCAGAGCTCACAGCGGAAACATTCGGGGTGCCAGTTGTTGTTCATTGCCTTGATCACACGCCCAATAATGAACTCCCCTGCAAGAGGAAAGAAACACCTTGAGATGCACGCAGAGAACAGCCTTATCCAAATCTACTTCCCTTCATAGACCATCCACTTTAATTCCACAAGAACCATCACAGTCTAACTTTGGAGAAACCCCAATTATTCCCACAACCAGGATACTCCAAAATCACTGCTGCTATTGTGCTTTGTTTCCCTCCAGGGCTACTGCTCCTTCAAATGACCTCAGCAATCCCAGCCCAGGACTGTCATGGCAATGGTGGGAGGTTTGCACACCCCTGTAGCTGTTACCCCATGGAGCTGACCTGTGCCACATCTTACCACATTCCCCGCAGCAAGGAGCAAACAGCATCTGAAAGTCATGCTCACAGTACTTCCGACCTTCAAACTGCAAACAAAATGAGACAGAAGGAGCCCTCATGAAAAACTGAACCACTCCTACATCTCAACAGTTCAGCATGATTTTGCATTGGAATGGACATTTAGCCAAGGTCAGTGGTAGCCCCTCATCCCCATTTTGAACTCCTACGGGTATTTCCTTGTGGTGAATCTGTGCAGCAAACAGGTAAATGAATAGCAATGCTGCTACAAGACAGTAAAAATCTTGAAGCACACCAAATTCCTTTGCCTATAGTTGCCTTTAATTTCATCTTTGGTTATGTTCAGAACTACTCCTCCTACACAAGGCTCAAACTCTCATCAAAATAAGAATGCAGCATGTTTCAAATAATGTGATGTGCTCATGTATGTTCTATAAAAATGTTTCAACCTAATTTTTCAGTGGGCTCACTATTTCAGTTCTCCAGCTAGAAAGGTTTAGTATAAAATGTCTAAAAATAAAGACAAAAAACCACTTATGTGTAATGAAGTATCAAGGGCAGGTTGGACAGGGCTTGGAGCACCCTGGTCCAGGGGGAGGTGTCCCTGCCAGGGCAGGGGGTGGAACTAGATGACCTTTAAGGTCACTTTGACCCAAACCATTCTGTGATTCTATGATGACTGAGAAACACTTCCTATTTTCTTTTTGAAACGCCTCTTACTCAAAGAGCAAGCACACAGCTTGTGTTGTCCCTGGTGCACAGGATGGAGTATGAGAGAGGGGAAAAAAAGGGAAATTAAGTTGGAAGCTTCTCAAAAAGATAACAACAAAGGTTTAGGGCCCCTGGACCTGGCGCTGGTGAGGCCACACCTTGAATCCTGTGCTCAGTTCTGGCCCCTCAGCTCAGGAGGGACATTGAGGTGCTGGAGCAGGTCCAGAGAAGAGCAACGAGGCTGGTGAAGTGACTGGAGCACAAGTGCCATGAGGAGAGGCTGAGGGAGCTGGGGGTGTTCAGCCTGGAGAAGAGGAGGCTCAGGGGAGACCTTATCACCCTCTGCAACTCCCTGACAGGAGGTTGGAGTCAGGTGGGGGTTGGTCTCTTCTCCCAGGCAACCAGCAGCAGGACAAGAGGGCACAGACTCAAGCTCTGCCAGGGGAGGGTTAGGTTGGATCTTAGGAAGAGATTTTTCTGTGAGAGAGTGATCAGGCATTGGAATGTGCTGCCCAGGGAGGGGATGGATTCACCATCCCTGGAGGTTTTCAAGCTGAGACTGGATGTGGCACTTAGTGCCATGGTCTAGTGACCACGGTAGGGTTGGACTTGATGATCTTGGAGTGGTTTCTATGCCCCTCTTACACACGTTCTCACCTCATAGAAGAGCCCGTCTGGGAACTGCCGGAAGCACTGTGCGCAGACGAAGCAGTTCTCGTGGTAGAGTTCCCCGTTGCTGTTGACAATGCGCTCGGCGGGGTCGAAACGTGCCTGGCAGCGCTCGCACACGGCGTTGGCCAGCGCGTCAGACATGTTACTGCAACACACATACGAGGAACAATGTCAGCACTGTCACAGCCAACCACAGCAGTACAATCATGTCATCCCAGTTTCCCCAACAGCCACAAACATGATGTTTCTGCTGCTTTAAAAACCCTCGGATGTGACAGAAAAAAAAAAGAAGAAAATGACCAGTGAGTTAATCCAGCACTGACATCAGTTAGAAATAATGTTTTGGCAACTCACATATGGCAGATGTCACACAGCAAACTTACCTATTGCACACTTTTGGCTACTTCACCACTCTTTCACCCCATTATGTCATCCTGATATTAGCTCATAGCAAATAGCCACACTGTTAAACAAACCAGTGGTCTGGGGAACAGCAAACACTGTGATTCTGCCTTCCTGCGATTTCTGATCTTGGGATATGCACCTCAGGGGATTTTCTGATGTGCAATAAGCACTGCAGTCTCCCCTTCACCGTAGGAATTAGCAGAGCATTTCCCCCTCTACCTGTCCCTGCCTTCCTGACAAACTTGTTGAAGCTGTCAGTGCTACAAAGGTATGGGAAGAGAAAATCTCTGGCTGGCTCAGCCAATACCTCAGAAAGTGAGGCTAAACCTCCAAAGCCACACCTGTAAACTGTGTAGAGAACATTTCCTTTATCTCCCCTAAAATATGCAATAATCCTAACCTCTTCCACAAAATTGCCATGCTTGCCATCATGCTAAACTAAGTTAATGTAGTTTTAAAGTCATATATCACATGTACAAACAGGGAGGGAAAAATTAAAAGGCAAGAGTCTCAGTTTCTTGTTGCAATGGGATCTCTCTTTTAACCACCAGACTATCCAATAATATAAACATTCAATATTGTTACACTTTTAGATATAGAAGAACTATTCTATGCCTTCTGGGCACCCTGTGAATTCTGTGATTGGAAAGATTGCAGTTTTACAGGTGGGAGTATAAAAAATGTCCAGCATGTCAAAAATGTCTGAAATATTTGTGCAGCACTTTTCCTGAAGTACACGATGTACACATAATCTGAACGATGGCTTGGTTTAAAAGATTTTTTGCCTTGTTTATATATTCAAAGCTATTCCAAGATAAATTTCCACTGTCAGTGTTCCTGTATAACTCAATATCTAACTTCCACACCTTTTCATAGAGAACAGTCACTCAATAAAATGTTCCAGCAGCAGATTCTCTTTCCTCTGGTCAGAGACACCCCCAAACCCACTGTCTGTATTCCAGGGCTTTGTGCTGTGAGCACAGCTAGAATGACCAGGCAGCAGCCTCATGTTCTTGAGGCAACAAATCCAGCCCTGTGCTCCAGCTGGCTCAGCTGAGCCAAATGTCTCCTATCTGCAGCCTGCACAGATTCCCTGCACTGTGACCCAGAGTGACCACTCAGCAAAAATACTTCCTTTCTGCCACTGCAAGTCCAAGGGTGGCAAAGACCAAGGCAGCCCAGAATAATTTCAGGAATGAAGCACCAATTTAGCAGAAGTTTGTTACAACTGGTTTCCTTCTTGCAGTCTGAAGGAGCTTTAAATAAAGCAGACACAGATTGGAATTATGGACAAGCAGGAAATCCTGTCATTTCATAAACTAGAGAGCAGAGAGAGGTTAAAGAAACATTTTGATCCTGATGCAGTACCAAAGGTCAGCACAAAGCCATCATTTTGTCACCAAAGCCAAGAGACTGAAAGGACTTGGTTTTGAGTCACCACTCTCAGTTTCACCATGCTTGAATATAATCTTCCTACCAGGTATTTTTGCCCTCTTGAAAAATGGGATTCCTGAGTTCTAAGACTTGAGCTACCCAAGAGCCATGATTAAGAAAACCTCCTACCAACAGAGTGAAGAAGCTCCTCTGAGAAGAAAACGGGCAAACCAGCAAGGATTACACCCTACATACTAACAGCAGAGCATGACCTGAGGTTGTGTTTTAGCATTATGAACAGGAAATCAACATCTGGAAAAATCCTGACTTTATTTTCCCTTCCTCCAAAGGGACCCATGACTGCCCCTACCAGCTTGCTGGGTAAACTGTGCCAGACCAGAGCTGCCACCTCCACGAAGGCAGTTGGCAACAGCTACAGCCTGAGACCTGCACAGCCACAGTGCTGTAGGGAGCACAGTGCAGCAGTGACAGTTCACACCAAACACACTGAATCCATTTGTCCCAGAAGAGATGCTCACATAAGTCCCGAGAAAAGCAATGCTGACGCAGCAACTCACTCTGATGCTGCTCTAGGTGCTGACAGGACTTCCTCAAGGCATAAAGATGATCATGACACAGTCTGAGCTGCCCATGCAAATGAGCTAATGAGTGTGACTTGTCACTCATGTGAGAGAAACTATTAGTCCAGGACAAAATTAGTACACAAATTAACACAATTCTCTGCCTCAAATTAAAAGCCAGCTGAAATTTGTTGGGGACAGTCATACACAAGTCAACCACATCACACATCAGCTCCTGACCAATGTGTCAGCAGCTGTGGCTCTGTGACAATCACAGCTTGAGTTTTACCCACTGCTCTTTTTCAATTCATGACTTTGCATCCGTTTTCACTTAAGACGCTTTATTGTTTCACACTCAAGCTAAAATGTGCAGCTTCAGCACTGCCCTAAAGGTCTGACTTGGCTTTTATACAAAGTTTTACATTCACATTCACCAGCTTTTTAATTTCCCTCAAGCACACCCCCTTGTGTGCCCTCTTTGTACAAAACCAAGCCTTTATTCAACTAGCTCAAGGTTAAAATTAAACAAGGCTGGAAGGAAGAGGGAGGACAGTGCTAACTGAGAGAGTTTTATGATTCAGATTACTACACTGCTGCAAAACACTTCTGCTGTCAAAGCAGGGAGAGGAAGGGCAGCACCAAACCCATCCTTTTGATGGTGGTGCCAGGAGTGACACAGAGGTTTGACTTGCTGACATTTCAATCCTAAAAGGACAGTACACTACACAGAGTGCAGCTTCTAATCTGTTTGCTCACTGCTTTTTTGCTCTTCAGTAAATAAAGAATCCTCCTCTGCTTTAACAATGAGCTGGTGACACAAAGACAGGAAAGGCTACTAAAACATTATGAGATCAACATCCTGCAGCTATCCTGTCCTGCACAGACCCAGAAAATATCAGTGGTCAAACAATGCTTCTTCCAACCTTTCACCATTATGTGCTGCATCTTTCACAAATTTTTACTATAAAGTATCAGCATTGCTCTCAAATCAAAAAAAGATAAAACATTCCTTCTCTTTAAGAAGTGGACATTGATTAGGAGCCTCATTCTGTGCCACAGGTACAGGTGCTGTCAAAATATTTGAAAGCATTTTACCTTCTTATGGCCACTGAAGTCAGTATTACCTTCTTGTTTAAACTTCAGTGCATGAACTTCTGCTGAAAAACAGCACTCAGCTACACTTAACATTCTTCCAAAATCTCTGTGCTGGACTGACTTCTATCTGGACAACTTTCCCAAGCATAATTAACTTCTTTAAGGTTATTATTAAATTTGTCATAAAATGTTGAGAAAAAAAAATCCCATTTGTTCAATGCACAATTTGTTGTGCATTGGTTAAACTATGTGCATCGCTCAGTATTTTCAGCATTTCACCTTCTGCTTGCATTGAATTTTCAGCTCATTTTCTATTTAAGTATTTTTTTCATTGGCTAAGTAAGAAATTAAGAGAATTTATCTCAGTGTATCCCCCTTGACCAAGCAGTCCCCAGTCTCTCAATATTCTTATCTAGAACTTGGGGACAACCACAGTTAAGAAGAATGTTCAAATGCAACTTATCACAGGATCACAGAATCAACATGGTTGGAAAAGACCAGCCTCGTGGCTCTTCTCTGGACCTGCTCCAGCACCTCAGTGTCCCTCCTGACCTGAGGGGCCAGAACTGAGCACAGGATTCAAGGTGTGGCCTCACCAGCACCGAGTGCAGGGGCAGAATCACCTCCTGGTCCTGCTGACCACACTGTTCCTGATCCAGCCCAGGATGGCATTGGCCTTCTTGGTCCCCTGAGCACACTGCTGGCTCATGGTCAGCTCCCTGTCTCTCCAAACTCCCAGGTCCCTTTCTGCCTGGTGCTCTCCAGCCACCCTGTCCCAGCCTGGAGCTCTGCATGGGATTGTTATGGCCAAAGTGCAGGACCAGCACTTGGCCTTGTTAAACCTCATCCCGTTGGAATCAGCCCATCTCTCCAGCCTATCCAGGTCCCACTGCAGAGCCCTCCTGCCTTCCAGCAGATCCACACTCCCCCCCAACTCTGTGTCATCTGCAAACTTGCTGATGGTGCACTCAATCCCCTCATCTGAATCGTCAACGAACATATTAAAGAGAACTGGGCCTAACACTATGGTCACAATATGGAAAAAATTAATATCTCCTTGGCCTACCCGCAACAGGAATTTACTATTAGTAGAATCCAGGGGTTTAAAGGAAAACTCCACACATTTCAGCTGAGTCCAGAGTCCAATGTCCACACGTTGGCCTGCAGAAGCTGCAATCAGACCTTTGAGACCTGCAGCAAAGTCTGGTGGTACTCACACAGAAAAATCTGCTATGCCATGGGCACTTGGGAATCCCTCTCAACACAAAGCAATACTTAATTCCAGTAAACCATGACCAATCACTTATAAGGAGCGATCCATACACATGCAGCAGTGTTCACTTAGCCAAGGGAAACATCAACAAAAAGAAAGGTACAGGGTTTAAACAGATCCCTTAGACAGGAAAACCAACCTTTTATTATCCAGCACATACCACAATGCCTATTTAATAAATAACTCCTTAGACACATCTAATCTTTCCCTTCTTCGCTTCCATTATCTCAAAGGAGCCTAAAAGTGTTGTTTGTTTACCAGCACTGATAACACAAATCACTCCCACGTGTGTTCATCAGTTATCACCAGCTAGCAGCAGCAGCACTACCTTTCAACTGCTCTCATTTGCCTGAAGATAGGACATAAAGTATCAGGACCTATCAGGAAGATGTAAAAATTATCAGTAGCTCAGAAACTGTGGATAAAATAGAATACTTCTGAGGACAAATTTCTGATTATAATCTTCAGCACTGTCACCTGATGAGTAAAACCAAAAACCATGGCTTTCTGTTTACTCTGTTTCAAGAACTATGACGTGAAAAATGCACTCAATTTACCTATCTAGAAATTCCCCCCCCAAATCACTGCCAGCTGCAAAAATTATGTCTTCTGAACCCACCTGGCCTGACTAAAATTTCTGCCAGTACCTGGTTTACCTGAAAGCAATACACACAGAGCCTCTCCTACTGTGCTGTATCTGCTCCTGAGCAGCACCATATCCCTGCAGCCCTGCACCTGCTGAGCTCCAGGGAGAGCTCTTCATCCCACTCCACTCTTCCTACACTTAATCACATGCCCAAGGCCGATGTACAATGTTTGGAGAAACATTACTGCCCAGATCACCTCTCCAGCCTCAGCACACCGAACAGCATTGGTTTAAAAAGAAGAGATCTCACAGGGAGAAACATTTTCCAAACACCAAGCTGCAGATCCTGAAATTTAGCTGATGTAGAAGGCAAACAAGAATTCACCTTGTCCTCCAGCAAAGCCACACATGCTGTTCAGAAAAGGAATTCTTTCTGCATAGCAGATTAAGTACATCTACTTAAGAAAGAGTTTTGAATTGATGAAGCAAAACAACACAAAGTTCAGGCTCAAAAATTCTCGGCTGTGTTTACAAAATCAGAAAAAAGACTGTTGGAAACAATAACTGGAAATCATGGGGAAAAAAACCCTGTGCCTTCACCTTCTTTCTGGAAGGCTTTTACAGGCTATAGTGAAACACAGTTTCAGCTGAAGGCAAACCATGTTCTGACAATGTGACAGTGTTTGGGCATTTATCTCCTCATCCTTCCACCTCCGGTTCCCACTCTGCTGTTTGTGTTCCACATCTGCTTTTTCAATGTTTATTTTCTTTTCTCTCACAAGTCCCTTCCATTCTTCTCACTCTTCCTGAGCAGCATCCTCTCCACTCAATGGCATCACCACTTCCTTCATTACCTTCTTACTCCCCTCGTCACTAAATTCTCATACATTCACACCCGCAACTTCTGTAGAAAAAATGGAAAATTCACCAACTAATAGCTACAGGCTAGAGGAAAATAGCAGGAAAAGCAGGTTCTGGTGAGGGATCAATGACTTCTGAGGCCAAACCAATTCCACAGTTCCAGGTAAGCATCAGATCTATTTCCTGCTAAGAAAATTCAAAACTCTTGACTACTAGAAAGTTTCCTCTCCTGCATGCTCACTGCTCTCCCTAGTGACAGACTTCAAATCCCATATTGCTGCTGTAACTCACAGTTCTCCCAAAATTCAGGAAACTAAGTTTTATTTAACTCCTGTTACTTTATCTCCTAGTGAAAGGTCAGAAGTGAAGTAAAATTTTGAAGTGAAGCACAGGAAAAGTAATGCTCAAATCAAGCAATGGAATTGTCTGAACAGAGTTAAGAAGCTCTGGTTGACATACTCTATAGAGTGTCAAGAAGCAGTTACACTTGGAAGCTTCAATTTCCGTTGGAGTTATGTACAAACACCAAAACCAATGAGCTTGCTGTTAACAGTATAGGTAAAGAATGGACTAGTGAGTCTGAAAAATCAAGCAACAATACAATTTTATCAACATTTTGAAATGATTGCTGTATTTCACCATTTCTTTTTTCTCAGTGTCAAAATACTTCACCATTAACAACACGAGGACCAATGCTGGTTCTGACCAGGCTAGTACAGAGCTCAAAACGGGAAAGGTTCTTCATTGTTGCTTTCCTGTTATTGTTAAAAACTGAAAGCTTTCTCATCAGGAAAGTCCTTTCCTTCGCAATCTACTTGGAAACGAAAATAAACAGACCTCATCCCCCCTGGCTGTGT